GCCGTAATTATCTAAGCAAGTCCTGAGATTCGGGAAACTGATACATCAATACCGTAGCGTTGATATATCGATTATTAAAATTTAGACTGAGATATACATCAATAATTTAATTATTTTGAAATAAAACTACTGTAAAAATTCTTGTCTTTTTCTTTAATTTACAATTAATTGAAGACAGTTATTTAATGGCGAATATGTAATTACAAAAAAAGTTTTATGGGTATACTTTTTTTGGAACTTGTTTTAGCGAGTTCCCTGAAATGGACCTCAGTTGGTTGATGATCAGTCGGTCGCAGCAATATTCAATTTTCCGTATACCAGGGTATATTTTTTGGGGAATAAGCATATGCACAAGGAAACTATCTTTTAATAACAAGTAAGAATATAAATAAAACAAAATAAATATCAATTACAATACACACAAACGAAACTGACTTAAAAAACTTTACATATACGTATTGTTTGGAGAAAAAATGAATATTTTTTTATATAAAACATTGAGTATTCATAGTCATCCCGGTATTTCCTGCTGTCTTAAATATTGCCGTGTTTGGCAATAATGTACAACCAATGTGATATCCCACTCTGTGCACTTCACGGCACAGAAAATACGAACGCAGTGTGCTGCCTTCAATGACTTGACAACTAAATATATCTTAGTTGCGTTCCTCACGTATGCAATTCTTTTTTTCTTGTTTTTTAAATTATCTGTATATTTGTGCCTTGGGTTTTCACCAAAAAATAGATATTTAGATCCAAGCTCCTCAAGCTCCTCAATGCATCAAAAAGAGCATCTGCCTAGAACTATTAAACTAGTTCCGAAGTTGAGCTTAATACCAATTTTTAATTTTTTTCATCCGAGGTATATTTTTCTGTTCACCTGTACTGTCGAGTATAGTGGTGCAATATTTAGCATTATTTGTGAACAATGCCTTTTCAAACCACACCTACTTCTGTTTTACAAGTATTCATTTTTACGAGAGTGCTACATGTAATTTTTTCACTGTTATTGAAAGGCTATTTTTACACCAATAAGAATTTAATGTCTTTATCACGCTATACATTTTGGTTCCACCATGATAAAATGCCTATAAATCTTTAAATCTTTCGAAAATAATTGAAATATCCTATAAACTTATTTACGTTATAAAAAGTATATATGGCAAAGAGATGAGAATGTCCAACTGATGTTGCATATTTCTCATGGAGTTACCATGCGCATTGAATTTTGACTGTTAAGCATCGGTCTAGTTAATAATCGATTCAAATAACGGCGATAGCATATAGCTTTACTAACAACTCTTTATAAATAGCGGGCTGGTGGAGATAGACCACCAATTACAAAACAGTTTCACAAGGGCATATTCAAATTTTGCTATGAATACAGTTGTGGCAGTACACTACACTTATGACATTTGTACAAAGGGGAAATGTGGACACCACATTTATATAATGTCTTCTCACAGCAATTTTAAAATAACGAGGGATATAGTATAGCATTTACACTTTTCTCATGACGAGTCATAAAACGTTCTATGCAGTCGCTTAAAAACAACACCCAAAACGAACAAACGAAGCAGTACTTAGTAAATTTCGTTATTGTGAAAAAACAGAATGATTTAGAATAAACAAAAATCCCATCTATTTTCTTGTTTTGTTGCGAGAGACATTGTATATTGGTAGGCTAACTTGCGAGAAATATATAATTAGACTATTATTGCGTGACAATATCGCGATTCGTGCAGAAGACGAATCTGGCAATGCTTATCTAGCTAGACCGCCAGCGGATTGTCGCAAATTCAGCGTTGGAGTCGGGAATGTCAGCTCGACAGTGATTCGTTTCGAGTAAAAATTAAATTCTGATTAAACAAGTTTCATAAAAATTGTTTGGTTTCAAGTTGGGAAAAAAACACGCATGGCAATAATGATTTGATAGGTGTCATTGGAAGGGATCTAGCACGTTTAAGGTGAAAGGTATTTTAAAAAGCTCCGCACTGTATAAAATATTTGCACGGTAGTTTTTTTGAAAAACAAAAGAAAGGTAGCTTTTAAAAGATCGTAATGTCTGAAATTTCCCCGCACTCTTATTCCCTTTCCATTCTGCCCCCGCTTTACTCTCCCCCAATCTTCCCCTTCATTTCTACGTTCTTTCGTCACTCTCCCAATCTATCCTTATCACTTCCATTCTTACCTCCCCCAGTCACTCTCTCACCCCAACACTCACTTCTTTCCAATTCCTTCTCTTACCTCCTCTCGTCACTCTCCTTCCAACTTCTTTTTATTTCTCCCCAACCACTCCATTTTCACCAAACCCCACTATCGCATTTTTCTCACCGAATTGAAGCTCAATGATGAGGAGATGATGGGGTAAGAGAAGGAAGAAGAGATAAACAGACTTCGCGTCTGAAGTTAGAGCTTTTCATACTTGAACGAATTTTTAATAAATGATCACCAATGGCTATATTGGGAGTAAATCTTGTAATCTTGTTCGCTAAAGAGGTAAATGATGCAAAATAAGGTTAAGAACCACGGAACAAACGCGATGTCATTTTTTATTTACATCATCCTAGCAAACGATCGATACGAAGCACTGTGGGATGTGTATTTCGGTTCTTATCTAGATCCTATCGCAACGCCTAATTACAGTCGTTATAAAACATATTGTAGAGTAAACACGCGTAATATCGCTCCTTCTTGGAGTGAATATCAAGAGCAATGCGGAGCATAAGATTGTGCCATAAATTAATCGGAAATATTCACACCAGAAAGAAAATACAATGCAGTTACTTTTGAAAGACATGGTTGTGCGTATTCTGTATAACTAAGTAATAAAAATCGTGAGCTAAATTTTTTTAGAGCCCAATGGTTAATTTTAAAGTTATTTTAAAACAAGAAGAAATTAGGCAAGCATATGAGCTTGTAAATTAAAAAATCGACAGCTGTATCATAGCATTACACTTTACTCATAAGGCGTTTGACGTCGTCGCCAAAAACAATACATATTACAAAGGACGCCATGTTTGTTATTTTTTTAACACAATGGCGCTCTGCGAACAAACGATCGGTACGACCTATTGAAACATTATTCGTATACACCAGTAAATTTCATCATACTATTCGGTCATATTCCAGGATTAATTTAAAGTCCGAACAATTCAAAAATTATGCTCGAATAGTGTATAAATCCTGTAATCAAATTATCGTTGTACATCGCTTCAAACCATTGCAGAAACTTTACCATTACTCGATATTCTGGTATCGATATCACACTACAATTACAGTATATTAACCAATTTACAAACCCTTTTTCAATATAATTTATTCAAGCATTGACAACTACAGAGTCTTCTATTTAGGGTCGCACGTATGTCGTTTCATAAAGCATAATGTATTGTCGTTAGATAATATAGTGTGAAATAGCGAGCGTGATATCGCTTACTATTGTGAAAATAGTAGTAGTGGGAAATAGTAAGATTTACTGAAGTAAGACATCCGGAAATAAATAGGAGTTGAGCTGTTTATGGATGAGAACGGTGCTGGACCGGCTACCTCGGATACCCTCAAATGCATTTAAATCTCTACCAAAATGTATAGCTGTCGATCATTATGTTATCATGTAATATAATAGAAAGTAACAGAATCTTCAAGTTGAGTTTTATTGAATGTATTTAGCAATCCTAGGAGTGACTAAAAAGTATGCCTGTGATAACTTCATTCGTTAGGAAAGTTGCTTGGTACTGGTCGAAGTTATAGCTCTGATAAAATTGAGACTACAAAATTCCCATATAAGTTTCCCACGACTCTATGGATATATTTAAAAATTTATCATTTATTAGTATAAGTTATGTTATTTTACGAGAGCTAAAATTAATTAAACAGCTTGTTTCCAGCTCGGGCTCTTTTGGTCGTTGGCGCAAAATACTTAAATTGTCGAAAGCGCCATATACTGTCATACTACGCACACACATTTGGGCGTTTTTTAATTGCAACTCGCATCTTTGCTCCAAACACAAGGCCAGATACAAGCAACCACTGATCTCTAACGATAGCCTGAAGAAAGCAAAGGGTTTTTTCTGGAAATAGTGATAGGTGAAGAATAATGCTTTTTTATGAGATGTTATATACTTTCACTCTGAACAAGAAATTAGACAAGCAAACTGAACAATGGCTGAGACAAGTAGATATTTTTAAGCTTAATAAATCGAGCCAATTGTGAATCACTAAAACACTATCTATATTTCAATCCAAATTTAATTTAAGTGAAGAAATTAGTTTTATATTTTCAATTACGGTTACAGGGATTTCAACTTTGGGTTTAAATTGTTTCGCAAACATTTTTTTCATTCAACAGTTTGGTATTATTTATCCTGGTTTGAACTTTCCAAACTGTGAAATTGATAAATTTCAGAAAAATTTTGAAAATGGAGGAAAATAAAGAACCGGAAGCTGAAGATAGTGAAGGTTGGTTTGTATTTTTATTTCTTGCTTGCAATTGATTTGTGTAGTTTTAACCCGCAAACTTCCGTTCAAAGTCGCATGCTACTCGGACAATGTGCTTTAAAATGGTACTACTTTCCATTGTCTCCTCTATACTACGACAAATCATTCGCATTACACGTGGTTCGTCGATTCAGCGAAAATTATGTCATAAATATTTCAAATCTTGTTTTTGGATTTATTGCGTTTTTCAGATTCGATCAAACTCTCCGATTCTATCTTGTTGTTTTGGAATAAAAAAATTTCGAACCATGGTGAAGTATATGAAGAAGAAATATCGAGTGCAACATATGGAACTCGTCCAATTGCAATAAAATTTGTTCAATACAACAAACAAAGTGTGGAAGAGGCAAAAATTTTTCTTCTACTGAACCCTCATACTCATGTAGTCTCTGTGATTCATTCAGACGAATACCAACAAGGTCTAATGAAATATATTTACATTGCAATGAACAAATGTAACCAAGATAACTTGAGAAATTTTGTGGAAAATCGAAGAAACGATGGAATTCCATTTGATTCTGAACTTGCACTTGACTGACGGTTACAGACCCCCTGAATCATTTGTGCCTGGATTTCCAACTTCACAAAAAACTGACATATATTTACTGGCTGTCATTGTTTACTATGTCGGCAAACATCCATTTGGCGATGAAAGAGACTTATGGAATCATTTCATGAAAAACCACAAAAACTTGAACCTGGATGGACTTTTAGTTCCAGATGCAGAAATTGCTAAAGATTTACTGGAATGGATGCTGCAGTTTGTTCCTCGTAAACGTCCAATGATAAGCGAGGTTCTTTCTCATCAATATATGGCTCCATCGAATGTAAAAGGTAGAAAAACTTGTAAAGATTTCTCAGCACATTGATAATCGGGATATTAATAATTTGCTAACTAGATTGTCGGGTATCGAACCATTAACCTATTTATTGTATGTAGATTTTTAAGTCTGTGGGTAGTAAGGTGTGCTAGTTTTCCTGATTTGGGCTTCAGCATCTTATTTTGAGATATTGTGATTGTCAATTGCCCAATGATAAAATTTGATTGCTTTGTAGAAGTAAACTTTTCTTTACACTAATTTTTTCTTCCCAGGTTTACTGTTCCGGGATCTACAGAAAGAACCTGCACATGGCGGTTTTCGAACAATTCTCCATGATGAACTTTTGCTTCCACATTTTGATAATGGAACTTTCAAATCAGATTTGTCTAAAAAAACAAAGAAAAAGATGTTTGTATTACAGTATTTATTTTACTATTGTGTGTGCCTGTGTTACCTGCTCTTTATATATTTACCGTCTACTCAAATGTTTTTTTAAACTTTCCAATGGAACAATATTAATTCTCAATGCCAAAGTATTTTTTCGAATACGGAATTGAATTTAGTACCAAATTTAAAACAAATAGCAAAACAGTACAATCTTGAAATAGGAATCCTGATCATACTTATCTTGGATTGATTTAAATATATTCTTGTTAGTGTGTTTAGCATTGCCATTATCATGCAGGGATTAAGTTAGCAATATGTAAATAACAATTTTCTTCCTGGTTGTAGCACTCAAATAGCTTCTCCTAGTTACAATTAATCCATCATACTTTCAGTCATTCTTCACAAGTTGCAACATCATTATCAAAGCTTGTTAATAATTTCCACTTTGCAAAATATCTTGAAGCAGAAAAAGAAATCAGCAATGCAGCTTTGACCTCAAAAGGTGAGATAAATTTATTTCAATACAGGTTGCATTCTTTTCATATTAATTAATCATGTGGTGAACAAAAATACGTACGCTAGTCTCTTGTCGTGCTGGTTACCATACCAGTCCAGATCCAACTTTCCAAACTTACATACATGTTCAAGACTAGTGTTATCATTGACTGTTTTGTTATTTATTAAAATGTTTTACATTTCAAATCAAGTTTAATTCAATTATACATTTTAAAATGAGGTACATTTTTAGATCGCCGGCTACTCACTGATGATATCTGGTGGTTTAAAGATAAACTTATCTATGAAGAATTTAATGTTACAGTTTATGAAGGCCAACTGAAACCCCCGACTTCAGTTACAGAACATTTATCAATATGGCTGTGTAGTTCTTGGAATGAAGACTTTCTTCATAAAATAGAAGTTTTTCGGCGACTTCCACCTCATCCAAATATAATCTCTGTATTTGCTAGTGGTTGGTTAAAGGAAATGAATCGATATTTTATTGCTACTGAAAGATGCCAGATCCAAACTCTCAGTAAATATTATGAAGAGAGAAAACAAAACAAAATTCATTTTGATCCTAGACTTGCTCTCGTACATGCAAAACAGTTAGTTAGTGGTCTACAACATCTGCATAAACATCATATTGCTCATGGGGAATTGAAATCAGATATTCGGTTTTCACTTGACATGCAAAATGTGAAGATTAGTTTTCATACCCTTTATACAATATTCTTTTCTTCAACAGTCAGCTTTGAAGATGATATTTTTTTTGGGGTAGAATCTTATTTAAATTATGGTCTAATAGACATGATATAGTTGCATTCGCGATACATCATATGAGAAATATTGATCTCGCTGCTTTGTTAATTCCTAACCCTCACTTGGCCCACGATTTGCTCACAAGGATGAGAAACGAAGATAAAGATCAACGGCCAACAATTCAGCAGCTTGTTGATCATGAATTCTGGAAAAGTATCAACATTTAGTTTTTTCTTCCTATTTCTTTCGGCTTGTTGGTCAATTCTACTGATTAGCACTTAACCTACACTAATTCAAAAATGTCGTAATTATCTTTATTAAATTATAACATGGTGATTGCAATAGCGTTCAACGACTTTGAACCAGACGTGGGGTTTCATCCACGGGCTCCACCACATCATCCACGGTTCAAGCAATTGGCTAAGCCATTCCAAAATAAAAAATTAAAGACTTTTGAAAAAAAATGACAAGTCATTATGCAACAATGCCTGCTATTGAGTTATATCTATAGCTTGTTTTTCATGAAATTAGATTCATTATCTGATCATCTGGAGTAAGCATAGTTTGACAGGAATTTCGTTAATAATTGTTTCATAGGTGAAATTACTTTGAAGTCATTTTATATTTTTAACTTTGATTTGGTAAACAAATTATGGAAAACTCGTAGAAGACGTTGAACATTATTCTTTGTTCAAGAGTAAACGATTATATTATTTTTTATTTTCAGATCATCTGTGAAAGGGTAAATAAATGACCACAAAATTTTTAACTATTTCTCATATATTTGGTTTTAGATATTTATATTTAGAAAAATATCAATTGTTTTTTCTTGAAACTTAAGCTGGGTATCAAACAACGATACTCGGGGTTTCTAACATCTTACTACGATTTAAAGAATCGGTGAATTATTCTTTATGAGAGAGCGTTGTTATTGACGAGCTCAAAGTCGCCTACTGGAGATAAATAACAACCAAACTTATTCTCTCTGCCAGTCAGTCAGTCAGTCAGTAGTTTATTTTATCACAAACCGAATGTAAACATTGACGAACAAAATTGAAAAAAATGAAAAATTAAATTTCAGTGTGAAGGGAGACGCGATAAACCAGAGAAGGTTATCGAGCAACGTCACCTTTGAGGCAGTAAGTCTAATATTAAATCATAATGAGAAAGAAGTCAAACATAAAATACTAACAAAAGCCGGACCTGAGACGCCATCAAGCGACCCGGTAACCCGGATAATAACGAAAGAAAGCAACTCCAGACACGACAGGCCGCGGTCGCCATGGTGACCGCATATCATTGAACAACCAACCAAGAGAGCCGGACTGCCGTGGTTATTCTGTGGCTGCGCTAAAGAGTTTTGTCACCACTGTGAATTCAGCGGAATTTCAGCGGAAAAATATTCTGCAGTTTTCAACCGGTTCCCATGCGGAAAATAATCTCTTATTACAATATTTATAAGGGATAAATGGATCCTATTTGGAATAATATGTTCCGAAGGAAACAACTCAGACCAAAATATAAGTTTAAGCACATTTAGCTGGTAGTGGTAATTACAACATACATAACTGTATCTCACATAAAACAGAAAAACTAAAACGTATTAGAATATATTGCAGAATGAAAAAAAATACAAAATAAAAATAGGCTACATTTGATGGTAACACAAAAATATCGGAAAATATTTTTTTCAATGTTACATGCAAACTCTAGGGTTCGATACCAAATGCGAATATGATCCGCAAAGTTCCGACAATTTTTAACAGTAATTTTGAATAGAACCAATAGTGATAAGTATTATATATAAAAGTTGAAGGGAACAAAGCGGACTTTATGATTTATGGGGTTTCAAATACAGGCGAAAAACAAGATTTTCTGAAATTTTATGTGTACTCGGTATATCGAGGCCGAATTCGAATATGTTGCTTTATATGCCGACAACTTTTGACAACGATTTTGATCACATCTATAAGTCAAGTGTCTAACACCAAAGTATGATCAACAGCGGAAAAAAACTTAACAAAATAGGGCCCTTCAAAAATTGACGAAAAATCAGATTTTTCTGTATTTCGTGCGAACTCAATGATTCGATGCCGAATTCGAATATGATCCGCAAAGTGCCGACAACTTTTAACAGTAATTTTGAATAGTAGCAATAGTGAAAAGTATTATATATAAAAGTTGAAGGGAACAAAGCTGGACTTTATGATTTATGGGGCTCCAAATACAGGCCAAAAACGAGATTTTCTGAAATTTGATGCGTACTCGATATATCGAGGCCGAATTCGAATATGTTGCTTTATATGCCGACAACTTTTGACAACGATTTCGATCACATGTATAAGTCAAGTGTCTAACACCAAAGTATGATCAACAGCGGAACAAAACTTAACAAAATATGGCCCTTCAAAAATTGACAAAAAATCAGATTTTGCTGTATTTCGTGCGAACTCAATGATTCGATGCCGAATTCGAATATGATCCGCAAAGTGCCGACAACTTTTAACAGTAATTTTGAATAGTACCAATAGTGAAAAGTATTATATATAAAAGTTGAAGGGAACAAAGCTGGACTTTATGATTTATGGGGCTCCAAATACAGGCCAAAAACGAGATTTTCTGAAATTTTATGCGTACTCGATATATCGAGACCGAATTCGAACAAGTTGCTTAATATGCCGACAACTTTTGACAACGATTTCGATCACATGTATAAGTCAAGTGTCTAACACCAAAGTATGATCAACAGCGGAACAAAACTTAACAAAATATGGCCCTTCAAAAATTGACGAAAAATTAGATTTTGCTGATTTCGTGCGAACTCAATGATTCGATGCCGAATTCGAATATGATCCGCAAAGTGCCGACAACTTTTAACAGTAATTTTGAATAGTACCAATAGTGAAAAGTATTATATATAAAAGTTGAAGGGAACAAAGCGGGACTTTATGATTTATGGGGCTCCAAATACAGGCCAAAAACGAGATTTTCGAAATTTGAGGCGTACTCGATATATCGAGGCCGAATTCGAATATGTTGCTTAATATGCCGACAACTTTTGACAACGATTTCGATCACATGTATAAGTCAAGTGTCCAACACCAAAGTATGATCAACAGCGGAACAAAACTTAACAAAATATGGCCCTTCAAAAATTGACGAAAAATCAGATTTTGCTGTATTTCGTGCGAACTCAATGATTCGATGCCGAATTCGAATATGATCCGCAAAGTGCCGACAACTTTTAACAGTAATTTTGAATAGTACCAATAGTGAAAAGTATTATATATAAAAGTTGAAGGGAACAAAGCGGGACTTTATGATTTATGGGGCTCCAAATACAGGCCAAAAACGAGATTTTCTGAAATTTGAGGCGTACTCGATATATCGAGGCCGAATTCGAATATGTTGCTTAATATGCCGACAACTTTTGACAACGATTTCGATCACATGTATAAGTCAAGTGTCTAACACCAAAGTATGATCAACAGCGGAACAAAACTTAACAAAATATGGCCCTTCAAAAATTGACGAAAAATCAGATTTTGCTGTATTTCGTGCGAACTCAATGATTCGATGCCGAATTCGAATATGATCCGCAAAGTGCCGACAACTTTTAACAGTAATTTTGAATAGTACCAATAGTGAAAAGTATTATATATAAAAGTTGAAGGGAACAAAGCGGGACTTTATGATTTATGGGGCTCCAAATACAGGCCAAAAACGAGATTTTCTGAAATTTTATGCGTACTCGATATATCGAGGCCGAATTCGAATATGTTGCTTTATATGCCGACAACTTTTGACAACGATTTCGATCACATGTATAAGTCAAGTGTCTACCACCAAAGTATGATCAACAGCGGAACAAAACTTAACAAAATATGGCCCTTCAAAAATTGACGAAAAAATCAGATTTTGCTGTATTTCGTGCGAACTCAATGATTCGATGCCGAATTCGAATATGATCCGCAAAGTGCCGACAACTTTTAACAGTAATTTTGAATAGTACCAATAGTGAAAAGTATTATATATAAAAGTTGAAGGGAACAAAGCGGGACTTTATGATTTATGGGGCTCCAAATACAGGCCAAAAACGAGATTTTCTGAAATTTGAGGCGTACTCGATATATCGAGGCCGAATTCGAATATGTTGCTTAATATGCCGACAACTTTTGACAACGATTTCGATCACATGTATAAGTCAAGTGTCTAACACCAAAGTATGATCAACAGCGGAACAAAACTTAACAAAATATGGCCCTTCAAAAATTGACGAAAAATTAGATTTTGCTGATTTTCGTGCGAACTCAATGATTCGATGCCGAATTCGAATATGATCCGCAAAGTGCCGACAACTTTTAACAGTAATTTTGAATAGTACCAATAGTGAAAAGTATTATATATAAAAGTTGAAGGGAACAAAGCGGGACTTTATGATTTATGGGGCTCCAAATACAGGCCAAAAACAAGATTTTCCGAAATTTGAGGCGTACTCGATATATCGAGGCCGAATTCGAATATGTTGCTTAATATGCCGACAACTTTTGACAACGATTTCGATCACATGTATAAGTCAAGTGTCTAACGCCAAAGTATGATCAACAGCGGAACAAAACTTAACAAAATATGGCCCTTCAAAAATTGACAAAAATTAGATTTTGCTGTATTTCGTGCGAACTCAATGATTCGAATGCCGAATTCGAATATGATCCGCAAAGTGCCGACAACTTTTAACAGTAATTTTGAATAGTACCAATAGTGAAAAGTATTATATATAAAAGTTGAAGGGAACAAAGCGGGACTTTATGATTTATGGGGCTCCAAATACAGGCCAAAAACAAGATTTTCCGAAATTTGAGGCGTACTCGATATATCGAGGCCGAATTCGAATATGTTGCTTAATATGCCGACAACTTTTGACAACGATTTCGATCACATGTATAAGTCAAGTGTCTAACACCAAAGTATGATCAACAGCGGAACAAAACTTAACAAAATATGGCCCTTCAAAAATTGACAAAAAATCAGATTTTGCTGTATTTCGTGCGAACTCAATGATTCGATGCCGAATTCGAATATGATCCGCAGGATGCCAACAACTTTTAACAGTAATTTTGAATAGTACCAATAGTGAAAAGTATTATATATAAAAGTTGAAGGGAACAAAGCGGGACTTTATGATTTATGGGGCTCCAAATACAGGCCAAAAACAAGATTTTTCGAACTTTGAGGCGTACTCGATATATCGAGGCCGAATTCGAATATGTTGCTTAATATGCCGACAACTTTTGACAACGATTTCGACCACATGTATAAGTCAAGTGTC